TCTGGGTCATCCTTTTGTTTGTAAAAACCATAAAAGAAAAGACCTATATGACTACCAAACCAAAAAATCCAAAAAGATAGACGTTTTGGTGCAAATTCTCTTTTTATGAAGGAGTCAGCCATTTTCCTGAAAATGTGTTGCGAGTATAATAAATAGATAGAATAGGGTGAAGGAGGAGAGTAGGAAGGAATGTGGATGGGTTATTATTAAATTGTGAATATTTTAAAATTAAAAATGTACTATCAAAGCACAAAAATATGAATAAAAACTAATAAATTTTGTATCGAGTGTTTTATTATATAATAAAAATTTTTAAAAAAAAATGAAAGGAAAATGAAACAAATATTTATAATAAATATATTAACAATCCATACTTGTAACAAATAATTATCATCCCATAAATTTTTTTTTGTATATATTAGTATCAATATAGCATAGTGGAAGTTTATCGTTACACGAATGTTATACGGAACTCATTGCTCCCTGAAAACTTCACTATCACTCTAAAATTGGAGATCAAAGTTCAGTTCCAGTTATCACTTACTTTTTATTGCCAGAATATTTTGCACAATATAAAAAAATTAGTGTAACATTTCAAATTACTATGCTTGCTTATTACGTAGCATTACATGAAATCGCACCAATCAATATATATTGTTTATTTTTGGCCGTTCGTGATTCGTCCGTAATTGATAACGTGGAGGACAACTCAGATAATTGACCGATCGATCCAGGTTTCCTCTTTATTTAATAATATTTATTATTTATTTTAAAAAAAACTACATGTTACAATTTAAATAAATAAAAGCGAATTATGGCATTATCAATTCATTCGACTTATCTAAATTTTGACCATATGCGCATCTCACTTTGCCAATTCACCAGCTTCACCTTCTGCATCATCTATATATATAACCAGAATCCTTTGTGCCACCCTTCTCGTTATAATTCACTCCAAACTTATATCGTCTTTTGAACAAATGTATTAAATTTTTGATAAAGGAAATTGGTAGTTTGGATTTCATCAAGCAGCAGTGCTTGTAGGACATGATGTTAATGAAAAAAGTGATATAAATATGAGGTTTAAAGAGCAATCGAGTGTAAATATTGACACTGTAGAATGAGCGAAAGCTGTTGATGTTGGGTCGACCGGGGCAAATTTATCAGGTTTATGATCAATGCTGTTCTTCGGCAAGCTTCGTGAAGTAATCAACTGCTTTTTGAATTATTTTGTCGTTAAAAATTTCAACATCAAACTGGTATTAGATTGTACGTGCCATTTAGTTAAAATGTTGCCTTTTTTGTGCTAAAACCATAGTAATAGTAATAGATAAAAAAATATGGTGACAAACCAGGATTACCAGAAGTTGTTGACATAGATAATATAACAATGCCAAGAACTAAACTAAGAAAAAGATATCATGCATGGTATAGTGACTAGACAATTAGCCAAAGCAAAAAAGGAAAAAGTACTTATATTTTTATTTTTGGTGTGAACAAGTCGTGCTTTAGATATGAACCCCTGAAACTTTTTGACACTAAATATGCAGAGCAATTCTGCTCTTTAATTTGTTGTTATATATTTAAAAAAATAGAATAATTTAACCGTATTTAGAAGAATTCTCAGTTTTATAACATTTGATTCAAAGTATAGAAATTTCTACGAATTAAAAAAATTACATATTAGTAACAATTGTCATTGTCATACAATAACAAAGTTTCAAAGAATTCCATTATTTTTTTAAACAAAAAAACGAGATTGTAAATTCTTGCTTAAAATGCTTACATTTTTTAAATAAAAAATATAAAAATTTCTTCTTCTATTATTTCAAAAAAAAAAAAAAAAATCATAATAAAATATAAATCACCCACATGCCGTA